TCAATGAAGAGCAAAGTCAGGTCTGTAATTCTTCCAGCTGCAGCGCTTGGCTTTCCCTTAGTGGCTGAATTACGCCCTTTAGTTAGGCTGGTCAGGTAGAGAGCTGATAGTTCAGACATTATAAATCCAAGACATTAGCACATTGAAAATGGTATCCTGTGGCTTTCTATAGGGCCCTTTTTCTGCCTAGAATGGTTTTCCCCTTGGCAGATAGCCTGGTGTGACAGTTTAAGCCCAACTGGCAACTAAGTACAATGCAGCTGCTCACTCATCCCCACCACTCCCCAGTGGGATGCAGAGGAAAATCAGAAAAAAGGTAAAAACTCATGGGTTGAGATAAAAACAGTTTAATAATTGAAACAAAAGTAAAATATAATAATAGTAATAGGAAATAGAGAGGGAGAGGAAGGAATAAGGCCCACCCACAAAAACCCCCAAGTGATGCACAGTACAATTGCTCCCGCAGACCAATACCCAGCCCGGTCAGAGCAGCGATCTGCCCTTCTGGGAGTTTACATACTGGGCATGGCATGCTGTGGTATGGAATACCCCTTTGGCTAGTTTGAGTCAGGTGTCTTGTCTCTGCTCCCTCCTGGCTTCTTGTGCCCCTCCTCAATGTCAGAGCATGAGACTGAAATGTCCTTGATCAGAGTAAGCACTACTTAGCAACAACTAAACCATCAGTGTGTTATCAGCATTGTTCTCAGATTAAAGCCAAAACGTAGTGCTCCACCAGCTACTAGGAAGAAAATTAACTCTATTCCAGCTCAAACCAGGACAGCTGGCTGACTCAGATAAAAGATGTGCATTTCCTTGAGCTCTGTCTTGCTTTGTTCCTTCTTTAACCATGTTGGAACATGAGTTTAATACAATTATCTTGATATTTAAACTTGCTATGGGCTGTAACATGGGTGAGGGCTTCTCTCTCGGTCTCTCCTGGAGGCCATTTGCAGAGAAGCAAGCAGCATCCTTGAATAGTCAAAATTGTTGAGACCCAACCCATCAGCCCATCAGCGATGTCTTTAGGTGGTACAATTTGTGTTGTCAGGCCAGTTGGCCTGAGAACTTCTCCTGCCTCTCATCTGCCCCTAAGATGCTCCCATGCTCTGACCAACATGGCCCCAGGGCAGAGGATTAGCAAAAGCTGCAGAAGAGTACAGCTGCACTGTCGTTTCTGCATTAACCCCCTCAGCAGCTATTAACTACTAAGTATCAAGGCAAACATAATGTCAAGAAATTGCTTTTACGTATTGTCCTGCTGTTCTTTATAGCTATGGACTTCAAAATCATGTGCCAATGTTTGTTGTCCTTCCCCTCCCCCCCCAAAAAAAAATCAAAAAAATCCAAACCCAAACCCTCAGGGTTTATGTAATTTGAGATGCGGCTTGTTTTGGTGCAAACACAGTTCTCAAATTTCATTTCTGCTGGCACTGGATAATCCCTGAAATAGCTGTTTCAATAGCTGAATTTCTTTCCTGGTTTCTCTCAGCACACAGGCATCAACAGTGAGATATTCTTCTTCATATCATTGACATGATACAGTTTTGCACTCTGTCCACTTCGCAACACAGCATCCATTTAGGTAAGAATGGATATCTTCAGTTGTGGGAGGAGTGTGTCTCTGGATGAAATTATGCACCACAGAGTGAAATCCCAGAGGACACTACATACCAGTACGTCAAAGCTGCACGAAGCCATGTACAGGCCCTTTTAGATTTGCCCATTCAGCCATTCTCTGCTTTATAGAACCTGGTCTACCTAAGCTTTATTAAACCATATTTTATTAAATCCAGATATAAGAAGTGAACTATGAAACAGTTTATCAAGAGCACTAACCACAGTTAGTGGATTGCGGTCTATGGGGATGGCTCCAGGCAGGTTTTCAGACCTCTCTGTGAGGGTCTTCCTTGGACACTCTGCCTCTTTTTGCACCAGACCAGCTTGAGGATGAGGTTATCCGTTGATACTGTGCTTCTCATGGGGTTAGCTTGGATCACAATAAAGGAAAGAATGTGAGATTGCCATGCCAGTATGCTGCTGCAACAGGCGAGGTCATCTCTTCTATATTGACGAATCCCCCTGTGCAGGGTACTCTTTTGGGGGTTTTGTGTTAGAGAGCAGAGATAGCAAACCAGAGCTTTTGTTCTCCTAGGAATATGCCCAAGGAACCAGCCTTTGTAAAAAGGAGACACTTGGGCTGCTGTGTGAACTCCCTCTAGCTCAGCAATTTTATTTTGTCTTTTTCAAGCACAGCCAGGACTCTGTGCTCAACTCAGTCGGGCAAATCCAGCCTAGCCCCCTGTCTCTCATGGAGACTCCATGCAGCTCTGGGTGCAATAGGTTTACAGCAAAGGCCAAGCTTCATGCAGTACCATGGGGCTAGTACTCCAGAGTACCAAACCAGTGGTCCCTCTCCCAGTGCCAAATGAAGAGCTTTATTGGGCTAGGATAGTACCTTAATCCCCACATCTTCTCCCTCTCTGCAGTTCCTTACAGAGCTCCTAGCTGGGCTCTGTGCAGGTACTCTGCGTAGGCATTCACCTCCAATTCTGTGGTGGACATTGCCTGAAATGAGATTTTCTGTATCATTTGAAGAAATGATACAGGCATAAGCTTTCTGACCACTGTTGCTCTGACGGTATCATTTTGTTTCCTTTTTCTTTTGCTGGCATCAGGCTGCGTAGCACTTGAGAGGGTGGAAGGAAAATATAGCAGACAGGTAGCTGATTTTGGTGGAATGAGGCCCTGGACCAGGTGAGACATGAGGATTAAAATGTTAGGTTTTTTATCAGTTGTTTTGTCTTTTTTACTTCATGGCCTTTTTAAATTGTTGCCATGGTCTAGTCTGTCATCCTGGAAAGTGCCCTGACTGCTTTCACCACTGTGCCAGAGGCTGGTTAAAGCCTGTGGTTAATTTGGGTATAAATGCTTGTGGAACAAAAAGACAAAACAAAACATAAAAAAATGTTGAGCCTGTAGGAGGAGAATAAAGCAACTAAATCTGCCTGTAAAGATAAGGTAAAGGAATACCAGATGGCAGATTTACACTTGTATGCTGGTGCTGAACATTGCCTCAAGAAGGGTCTGGTGATGGAATTGATTTTTTTATGTTACAATAGTTAGCAGAATGCATCTCACCATGAAAAAATCCAGCAGGAGCCATAGAAAGTTACAATTAAACATTCTCTTTATTGGGGCCTTGCTCTGAAATGGCACAAGTGATAAATGCTCACAGTGCCCATCAGTGCTGCTAATGAAAAGACCCAGAGTCATGTTTTACACTTTTATTTGCATTTAGATCAACACCACAGATAAGATATTTTGGTCAAACACAAGAACAGATTGCTATGCCGCTCTTTCCTGGCTGCAGTAAGTACAGTAAGGTGGAAAAAAAGTGCTGGTTCTCCTGGAACACTGAATGTAAATCTTGGATTGGCACATACAGATAATAAATGTCGTTTGCACTTAGCACTTTAAAATGGAATTGCACATGCAAGATGTAACCAGGCTACTGATCACTTTATCACTGTCCCTGTACTAGTTTTACTTTTTAAGCTCTTTGCTTGCCTTTTTCCCAGCAAGAAAAAAGGAATCTAATTTCCAGCTCTAAGTATTTCAGTGATTAGTCTGCTGTTTTTGACACATTCAGCAAAGGTCACATGGAAGGCCTTCCTGATAGAATTGGTATCTCCTCTAGAGCTTGACTTGCAACACTAGGCATTGCAGGCAGCAATGGAAGTCCACCGAAGCGAGGTGAGAGGTCTCCCCAAAAGCTGATGAGGAGAGGTTAATACCAAGCAAAGATACAGTAGAGGGACCGGCGTGAACGCAGTTCTTACAATATCAAGAGTCAATACTACTACCACATAAATAATGACATATCAATAATATATTGTACAAGCTTATACAGCAACACATGTTGATTTGCAACATTGTACAGTTTAAATCTAAAGTGCACAGCCTCAATCTGAGGTGACAAAACAGTACTATCAATATAATAAAGGCAACACAATTACAGACACAATTTATTTCCTCTTACTTCATGTCCTCATGATATTACATTGACTCAATACTCCATTTATCTATTTTAGATGAAATTAAAACCACACTGTACTTTTTTTTTTCCTCTCTTCAAATATTTTAGAGACAGCAAAACAATATTGCTTTACAAACAAAAGTTGGCTGTTTAGGCAAAGTTAAAACCAAAACTTTAGTAGGGTTATAAGCAGACAGGCCTGAGCCGCAGAACTCTTACCAACACTTCCAGATGTTAGGGGAAAGAGGATAAATTTCAGTTTTCATGCCAGAGACACCTCTAATATTAAAGAATGATGCAGCACATGAATTCTGCAAGAGCTGTGCCCATGGTTTCTAAAAAGGCTGTGAGGCTCCTTATGGGCTGTTTCAGGCAGATGTAGTCTTATCTCATTTTTTAGTTCAATTTCAAAAGCTGTTGCAGACAAGGATGGAGTCCAGCACTGGGAAAAACCTTTGACAAAGCAGTTTGTCACTCAGACCCCATCCCTGTCACTCAGATTACTCACATTTAATTTAGGCCTTGTCTTGCAGACGTGTACATCTGTAAGAAGTCTTTACCCTCTTAATGCAGCTGTAAGGTTTCATGCTATTTCTCTAGTAAGAATTTCAGTCAATTTTAATTTTCAGTGTCATTTTGGACTGCTCATAGCATAAATGGCTACGAGGTAAGCATTTATTCAGACACGTGACTTTTTTCTGGATAGTTTTTTTTACTACAGAACACAGAAACCATCCAAATACAACCTTATTTCAGTCTTGGTTAGCACTGTATATTGATTGTGCGTCTGCTTCTGTTAGGCCAAGTGGGAAACATAAGTAAAAATAATAGTATCCTATTACTGTACTGTAACTGATCTTATTAAGTGGTATTAAGAGCTGCAGTACTCTTGAGGTTTTTCAGTAATCAACCCTGGAGATGTACAATCCATATGACATGGAGAAATGAGGTACTGGTACCTCTTAAGAATGTAGTATGTGGGCTTATATTTTAAACCAAACAGTAATAAATACTTGAGGCACCTCCATCGAAAGGATCCTAGTTAATTTTCAGCTTCTGTCCTCACAGTTTTATAACCCATATAAAATAAAAATATATAGTTTACAAAATAGGATTTTTTAATATATATATATTTCCTTTTGTAAAACTATACCTATTTAAATACATTTGAAATGTTGCTATACGTAAATTAGAAATTCTGTTCTAGTACTACGAAAAAGGCAAAACACTTTCACTTTTAAACGCACAGCTTGTATAATCTGCTTCTCACTGTCCCCTCCCACTTCCCCCAATTTGATTTTGTCATCATTTTGGGCAAATTTGGATCATTCAGTCCAATTGCTTTTAATTTAAAGTAGTTGCTGTGTTAAAATTGGGAATAAAATTTTCCGTATCTTCTGTTCTTATTTGTTTCAATGCAGCTTTTTACGCAGCTAATTATTAAGGAGGTATTCTAAAATTCAGGAAAGGACTTTAAAGGAGCCATGTTTCTTGATTTTAAACTGTACTCTACTCCAACGCCACAATATAGAAATAGATTTACTTTGGAACAAACTACAAATACATTCGCACAGTTTGTGACAACTTAATTGTCTACTTGGAGGTCCAGGAACAGATTTTCACACCCAATTATTATAAATCTTGTCCCAGGCGTTCTATTTCATCAATCAGGAAATCAATGTCTTGGTGAGTTGCTGCAGGGTTTGAGATGACCATGCGGAAGAAGTTCACTTTGTCTCCCAGGGGCTGATAGCTCACCATGGTTGTGCCATACTCCATCATCCTGGCTTTTATCACTGGTGCCACCTGCAGTGTAACAAAAAGCAGGGGATTATGATGATGCTTATTGTCATTATTTTCGTTATTACCATCATCTTTATTATTATTCCAACAAAGCATGTATTCTTTAAAAACAAGTAAGTATGAACAGCTACAAGAAGCAGTTAAAATGAAATTATGTCCAATATTGATAAAAATGTTAAACTCTGCTAAGGAATAAATGTCTCATTGAAAAGACATTTGGTTTATCCTGTTTCTTTGTCCTGCTCTTAAAAACACTGGGGAATTTACTTCCCTACATTCTCAATATTGCTGACAGGGACACAGTAGCTCTTTTTTTTTCTAGTGCTTAAAACACAGTTACAGTAATTTTCCATCTTCTTTTCATATGCTAGATTGCCATGGTATTACTAAGCTCTTGTTGCTCTTGCTGGGTTTAGCGACTGCAGTTCACAGTAACTTCAGTAAATATAGACAGAGCAAGTAAATGCTCTAGAGATGAGGCAAACCCAGGGAATACAAACTTGGAGATCCGAGTAAGGTGGTGCCAGACTAACCTGCAGTAAAATGACCACAGAGGTGTCATTTGCCAGAATACCATGAGGTGACCTTGCCCTGTGCCCTGAGAGATCATTTCAGGGGCTGCCTGCCTGCAAGGATTTTGCTGTTCCCTGCATGATGTCCTGGAGGATGCTGCTTACCTTCATAAGGCGGCTCATTCTTTCTTCATTGTCTTCCATACTGCGCAAGCTGGGAGGTATGTACCAGAAGCAGACATTTGTGTGCTGAGGCTAAACACAGAATAATAATGGTTTAACACTGTAAGAAATGCTCATAATATCTCAACTGCAATTAAGTTCATGCCTTCCCTTGCTCTCATACATCATACTGTTGACAGCAGTCAATGGTTTTCATTATTGTGGTCCACTGAGAGTCATCATCATTATTAATGCAGAAAAAATAATTGTAGGTAATTTATTTCCAGGGTGTCAGATGCAGAAACAGATCATACCGCTGAGAAAATGTATTTATGCCCTACTGAAAGGCATCTAGTTTTTGTAGGTGCTGACCCCTCCAGAGGTGGAAGGGATCGTGTGGCTAAGGCGAGAGTCTCATTTAGAGGTGAGGACTGTGTCACTTACTTTTATTACCTGAGAGAAAAATATAGAATGTAGTTCCATAAACAGAAGCCACAGGTGGTGCAAGAGACAGTCTAAGATTGTCTTACATTTAATAAGATTTATGAATTCTCAGTTTGATTCAGCTCGCTGTGCTATTAATATGTATGCACCGCAGCATCTTAGCTAGTTTAATTTACATGGGAGCACTAAGTAGAAAGGCATAAAACCTAGTTGACATTTTTTGTATTTTTGCAATGTGCCAACAGTTGCTTGCCTTGCTTTGCTCCTTTTTGGTGGATGCTAAATGTGTGAGTTACAGCAACCTCTGTTGCTGTTCTCTGCTGCCAGTTCCTTTACTCATCATCAGACCCAGTGGACCAAATTCAGTGATGATGTGTGAGGTGGGGGAAATAAATCACATAGAGGCATACAGGTATGAGCCTGTGTCTCTGTTTGAAGAAACATAGAGATGTTTATCCTTGTGCTGCAGAGCACTTAGGCATGCAGTGAGTGATCGCTACCAGGGAGCAATGTTCTGAGTGACGAAACCTTCCAGGCCAAGTACAGAGAGCAAAAGCCACCACAAGTACAAGGAAAAAAGCTAAAATGAGATCTCTTTTTTCTCTTTTACAGGCAAAACACCAGTTAACTTTGTATCAGAGGTCTCCACTAGGCCTGTCCCCAGCTGGAGAGGGTTGCCCACAAAGAGACGGCCAAACACCAACCTGGTGCAGTTCGCAGGTACAGCCACACAACCCAGGCTGCACTACCTTGCCCTGGACACTGTGCTCCAGCTGAGTACCTGGCACCCAGGGGTCCCATCTCAGCTTTCCACCCCACAGAAACAACATGCCAAGAGATATTTGGACTCCCCACAGTGGTGTCACCTCTGTCATGTGAGCCAACCAGGCTTCCGAGCAACACTCTGCTGCACCCCATCACAGCAGGGACTGCAGTGCAAATGGTCCCTCCAGGTCACCCCAGGTCCCTGCAGGTCCCCTGTGACTGCCCACTGGAGAATGCTGATAAAAGCACTTTGCACAACCGTCCTTTCAGAGTCGTGTGGGGGCACTGTAACCCCCGCTCATAACAGACTCTGCTATTAGGAACCACAACTTTTCATTACTTACTTAAGAGCTGGTTCCAACTGTGTGTGTGTGTGCTGTGTTAGCCTGAGATGCCAGTGTTTAGTTTCACTGGGGTGAAACTGAGCAAACTGAAAACATCTGCTGTTGCCTCAAATCCCTTGTCCCTGGATCCCACAAGGCAGAGATGTGGACATAGTGGGATTTGTTATAAAGGACAGTGCTTTCTGTCATAAGCTGTCTAGTTTGAGGTGTTGGTAGCATCCCAATAGGTTGGCTAAGGCAAGCGCCGTTGACCAACTGGGAAAAAGAAGCTGCAATACATACCTTTCCATCAAACACCATTTCATACCCTTCTCTGTTCTTTATTTTATTGTATAGGTATTCTGCAAGTTCCAAGCACTTATCAATTTGTGCTTCAAATCCTGTGGTTCCCTTTAGAAAAAGAGGGAGAAAACAAAGTTGCATGACTATCTGTTCTGTAAACCAAAAGAGTGAAAGAACCATGCAGCACTTGCTGAAGCATCAGCACAAGTCACCTCTTAGAAGTCTCTCTGGGACAGATGAAGAATCTGATTCTGTGAGATGAAGGACTTTGATAAGCAGAGCTCATTTGTCTCTAGCTCTTGCCACCGACTTCTCTATAGCCACCTCTACAAAATAAGTACCAGGTACTAGCTTGGCTTTCAACAAAATATTACTGACACCTCCAATGAAGGGCATCCTTGGCAGATTTTGCAGAGAGCCTGAGCATGGTTTTGGACAGCCTGGACTGGCACAGAGGAGAGTGTCTAGATGGTGCTGAGTTTCAGACATGGGGAGTCTCCTGCTATTTTCAAAGTAGGGAATTTTAATCTTCCACAGGTGATGTGCTGGGGGCTTTCCAAGAATAATTTTTCTTTTCAGTTAAACACAGAATGGGCAGATAGGCCTGATGCTTTCCGAAATGCACATTTTGTTTAGGTACTGCCCTGCCTCTGTAATGTTTTGTCTCTCTTCTAATAAACTCAGAGGCTGTGTTTTTAAGAGCTGCAGCAAATCTTGGTTTTTTTTTCTCTGGCAGAAGTCCATAATCCTTTCTCTGTGACATCATAATTGTTCCTGCAATTACCAGCTGTGATGCCACAAAGAAAGGCTCCAGCTTCATGAGGCAGGAAGGGGAATAAACAGCTGGAATAGCCAAACTGTTTAAGAAACACACATCCTATTTTGTATCATTAATATTACAAGCAGGGTGTGAGAAGACAAAAAGCAGTACAAGGCATATTGAAAAAACAGGGTTTAGAAGAAGAAATGTCTGAGTAATAGGTGCATGTCCCTGCTAAATCTGTTCTTGCAGTGCAGAACTGACTTAAAAAGCCATGTCATTATCCCTCTGTGTATTGAGATTTCAAAACAGGGTAGAACTAGTACAGCCCCAGGAGAAAAGCTTGGAGTGAAAGAAAGACATGTGGCTAAAATTGGCTGCCTCTCTGGAGATCTCAGTTAGTACAACAATTATTGCGACCACAGAAACTTCCACCCTCCTTTACAGACTCCCACAACTCCAGCGACACCTGATGTCTGCCTCAGAACTGTTTTCAGAGTTTTAATGAAGCACATGAGGATCTTTAAGGCTTTCTGGAAATTAAAACAGTGATGTCGTCTCCTCTGAAAAAACTTGAGGCAACTTGACATAACAGACTGGATAAATACATGGAAGAACTTAGTAACATTCTACAAATGCAGATGAATTAATCAGATTTCTCAGAGAACAGATTTTGATGAGTTTTCCTCTACTCCTTCAAAAGCTGACTTTGTATCTTCTGCATGCAATGAAACTAGGTATTCCAGTCTTGATTTGTCAGGTTTAATTTCTGAGTGTTGTTAAAAAACCTTCTTATTTTCAGAAATTTTCGTAACAACATTCCTAGGTAAATGATTTACGTTGTTAAGACTCCCATAGTTACACAAAGCAAATGCTGTGCAAAGCCCTGGAGTTCAAATTTCAAAATCATGTGTGCTGCTTTGAAGCTAAATCGTTAAAAGTGAAAACCCAGAAAATAATAATGTTCTTTCTTTCATGTTATATATGGGAGATTTAGGTCAGGTATTTTCTAAAATGGTGATTACAGAAAAAAACCTGTATCTGGTGTGCATTATTTTAAAGCAAACAAATATATTGCAGGTAGTCCTACCTTTGCCCTCCACATCAACCATAGCTTGAAGACATCGACATGCCGTCCACATTGCAAAGCCTTGTCTCCAGTGTCATAAGACAGGTCGTAGTGCTTGTCTTGTTGAAAGAGGTAGGAAGCATGCATTTGATTGCAACTCTGCATCAATCCCTTACAGAAACAAAGACACAAAAATGTGATGTTGGCACAGATGTGACTACTGTTTTGAGCGTTGCTTTGGGCAAGAAATTACATACACCCAAATTCAGTGGAATATGGGTCCAAGTGCAAAAAGAAGACCAAAAGAAAAGGACAAAAGCAGACTTTTGGTCAGTAGTGGACTAAATTTGCCACATCCCATTCAGGGCCTAGGATGTCTCAGTAAAGTGTAACGCACTCCCAGAGCCAAGACATTCTTTTTTTAAAAAAGCTGGACATGGTGCTTCCTAACATCATTACGCGTAAGTTTATTTTTGGATCTTGCCTTTATTCTTTGTTCTACTTCCTTTTCCTCCTTTCCTCAGAAGGCATCTTTTCTGGTTGAGTCAGACCAAGCAACTTGGTGACTAATCTAAGTAGTATCACACTACTTTCCTAATTGCTTTGGGACTCTGAAATTCTTATTTTTATTGTTTTCTTTCTTTGTAGACACAGTTCTTTTCTGCAAAGCCCTCAGCTGCAGATTGGATGCTTAAGTGGTATAGAAAGCTTTGAACAGACTGAAGAGCATATGGACTTTAAACAGCCAGCTAGAGCTATTTCTGTGTTGCAAGACACCATTCTGAGAGGCAGCTTTGTGGGAGGGCCAGAAGCCAACAAGGTGAAGAAACCTGGCTCAGGAAAGCATGAGGTTTCTTTTCTAGCTTTTTTAGTGAAATGCAGAGAGTCACATTCTGGCTCTAGTTAACTCCTTAACCAAGTTTAAGGTATACCTTAGGACTGTGGCCTAAAACTGCAATTTCCAGACCAAGAAGAATCAAAATATGGCTGTTTATCATCAAGTCTAATCTTTACGTGTAGCTCAAAACTGAGATAGTAAAATGAAAGGGAAAAAAATTACTTTCTCCTAATCTAAGCCATGTGTTCTCACTAGAGGTCAAGGATGGTACTTACTTCAGCCAGGCAGGGTTTGTCCCAGGGAACTGACCCAGAGGGCAAATAAAAGCCAGCCTCTCTCTTCCTAAGTGCAATCACTTTGTATACAATGTGCTGTACAGCTGTTAGCAAAAAAGCAAACAGCTTTTTGATAGCTGGTCTAGTAAGTGATGGTTGTATAGCAGCTGTCCCAGCAACTGATGGTTATACGAGAATTACAGGCTTGGAGGGTAATTAAAATTCTAGTACTAAATGAAATGTCTACTTTTTATTCCAAACTTAGTGTTCCGTTTTTACTTCCATGTGCCCAAAAGTGGATATATGGATCAGAGCTGGGTGAAAATATCTATCATAAACTCTAGAAAGTGTAATGATGCCTAGATCCTGGACCAAATGTGCTGCACATATACCATACCATTCACCCCAAGAGAACTTGAATTTGCCTGCAGTTACATTTTTTGTTACACAGCAACTAGTGGTGTTACACAGCTATGCACTCACTATTTAACTATGGATGTTTTGAATGGAAAGCCACAAAACTCTGTGAAGATTTTGTCATGCATTAGGTCTGTTATTTCTGGTAGACAGCTGCTTTAACTCCCTTTGCAGTCACAGCCTGAGCACTAGAGGTCTATTTCTCAGTTTCTTTTGTAGTCCTCATCACAGTAGCTAATACTAGCCATGGCACAGTTATGAAGAAAACATCCAGGATTTTTAGAAGTAAAATGTCAGAAAAGATCACAGAATCACTGGGACATACCTCTTCTCTTACTAGCAGGGCTGAACACTGCAGTGGGACGCCCATCATCTTGTGAGGGTTCCAGGTCACCGAATTGGCCCTGGGACAGTAAACCACAAAAAACTCAGACTCTGTACTATGGTGGTGAAACCATGGAGACAATTAGAAATAATTAGAATAATAATGAACAATGTGCACCTTTTTCTGAGCAAGCAAAGCTGAAAATAATCATGGCTGATATTAGGAAAGCATTGCCTTTATAAGGGACCTAATCCACTTCAGCTGGTTTTTGGATGACAACCCTGGCAACTCACCCCAGGATAACTGTTCTGTCCACTGAACTTAATCAGTATTAAACTTTCTGGGGAGTCACCTATACTTTATAAACATAGGGCAAACTTCCTAAAAACACCCACTTGACTGATGAGATTTCTAAGTCACACAGCCGATCAAAGACGCAGATAGGAAGCTGGCAAATGGGCAGGTTCCCTCTCATTGATTCCAGTTTCAGCGAGATTTTAGTAAGCAGCTCACATAAGCATTTTTTAAAATGCCTTTAAACACTTCTGTGTATGTCTAAGCCTCTGTGTAACTTGGAAAACCTGGCCCAAAGTAATTTTTATCATTGCTCTGCTGATGGTAAGTTTTCCTAGCTGCTTAATTTTAGCTTGGCTATGGTAATTCACACCATGGGAGGACTGGGTCCATAATTACCACAGTAATAAACACAGAACTGATCCACCCTTCCACAAGAGAGTCTGATCCTGCCCCCCTTCAGGACACATTCATTTCAAAAAGAGCTGTCAGCCTATTTCTTGTGAACAAACAGGGTGCTGTTGCAATATGGCCTAGAGAAGAGACATTTGGGACTGTGGCAAGGGCTGAATGGAAAATTGTTCAGTTGTTTATTATTTTAATTTTGTGTTATGCTTGACTGGCTGTTTTTAAATTACTATTATTACATATGATGATTAGCTGATAGATGTATACATTTGCATCCTATTTGGCAGGCTGTCAAGGATTCACGTGCACAGGATTTCATGTGGTGCAGTGATTTGAGTTTTGATCATATAAATTGGTATAAATCAGTCAACTGGGACATAAAAGAGTTAAAGGACCCAGGATACACTTGCAGGTAATATTTATGTGAACAGAGGTGAGCATGTTAGAATCTGGCAGTATTTTCCATTGTAGAACTTGGAGACAGAGCTGTAGGTTTATGCATTATCCTTATAATTTCCTGCCAAATTGTTTTCACTCCTTCAAAGCAAGCAGTTCTGACAGTCACATGGACAGCGAGAAGCACTTCTGTGTTTTCTTCTTTGGTAATAAATGGAACTGCACGAGAGCCTGATGCAAACTCTGTAGGGAGCCATCTTCCTCACTCAACATCTGGCCACTTGGCTTGGCTTTTTGAGTATTTGGCAGCTTTTAATCAGCTCAGAGTCAGTCATCTGATTACAACACCAAAGCTAATGATTCTGAACATGCATCCAGGTCTGTGAATTTCCTTTGATATGATACTGTTTAATTTTTATCTGTGCCAATGCAGAATCAGGCAGAAATTCTTTTAAAACTTCTAGGTCTAGTGGTATGGGTTTTCTCAAGTAAAAAGATTATCAACAATAACCAGATGTTAATTATCTGCCTAAAACATTTAAATTACCCTCAGGTCACTTATTTTCCCAATTACATTCCAACTGCACACAGGGGAAAAAAAAAAGTAAAATAAAAATCCACCATTTTTCATTTGTTATCAGTTATTCTGGGCTTCAATTATCATAAATTGCTGACTGAGACAAACAGTGAAGTAAAAAAGCTACATGGATCTGCAGATGTTTTCTTTTAAGCATCTCATATACTAAAGCATACTCAGTACTAAATAACTGATCACCAAGTACCTGTGTGATTTTCTGGCTGTGGGTCACAGAAAAAAGAGGAAAATTTTTTCCTTTAGAGATTTCAAATGGATGAAGGAGAGACTCAAGACTGGCAGACTTTGGTCCTCATCCATCATTAAAAACAGACTCAGGTGCATCCACTGACCAGCTGCAGCCCCAGGAAGGCTGCCCAGAGCCTGCATGGGAGCACTCATTCAGCTGCAAACATGCTTTTCTCGGGTAGCTGTCACACCCTGCCCGCAACTCTCGGAGAAGGACACCTTACTGAAACCCCTGGTGGTGGCCAGACCTATCTGCTGCTCAAACCAGGGAACATGCTTTCTTCAGGGTGCCTTGAGGCAGCTTGTGATCTGCTGTGTGAAGACTCTAGAGCACAGGAAGAATGGTTCTGCAACTCCTCCTGCCTTTTACAGGAGTATTTTTGCTGGACTGCCTGTTACCAGAAGGATGTGAGTACTCAGAGCCCAGTGTGCTCCATTTTATGATCTCTCCTTGTACCTTTCTTCCCCATCAAACATGAGTACTAGCTCCAGTTCTCTTCTATCCACACCTGTAATGACTGGGTTGTACTTGAATATCTACCATGAAACAGGAATGTCCATAAAAGTTGGGTCTTGTTAGTCTGCTCTAAAGGTATCCACATTTGAGATTTGGACAAACTGAAACAAGCCGTGTCCATCAAGCAGAGAAACAGCACTGGAAATGACAAATTTCATTAATTCGTTGCCAAACATATGGAGATGGTGCCTATCAAAGCACTAGATAAAATCCAGTGGAATTCTGGATTTAAAGCATGTTATTTGGAAAATCCTCCAATACAGAGTCAACCTGAAGTTTTCATTCCAGCAGAATCTGGACAGCAATTTGGGAGGCAAACTCTTATTTTCATACTCTGTCCTCACAGGCAACTGGGTAGATTGCTGGGTATTTTGATGTACATCCTTTTAATGCACAATATGTAAGTTTTGAGTGTTGGAGGCAGTCTTAATTAAATTCATAGAACCATTGGCTGCTTTCCAAATTTTGCATGTGGGATGTATGAGAAAGGAACTGAATTATCAAAGTATCCTTCTAATCTTCAGGAATAGGATAAGGAAGTTGTCTGTGATTTTAATTGGCAAGGAACAGCAGTTCAATTCAGAGATAAAAAAGGCAGAAGGGGGTAATAATTTACTTTCAAACAGCATGTGCTTCAGAAAATACACAAATTGTATTTGTGAGTTACTCCATCTAGCCCAGTATACTGTCTCTAGCAAGTGGCCTAAATAGGTGCCTTGGAAGAATACGAAACAGGGCAAGCATATACAAGCTTTCTTTAAATACTCTCCAAGCTCCTGCTTATTTGTGGCTCATAGAATTCCTGAATGTTTTTTTTTTCTTTCTCTCCTAAATCTTAACATCCTATAGCAAAGAGTTCTACATCTTAACTAAAAGTTTTTGAATAAGCAGCCGTTTTTAAGTTTAAGCTAAGTCCTTCCAGACTCTGAACTGGACTGCCATAATTTCTGTTCATCTGTTACAGTGCTACATCAATGGTTGGATTTCATGATCTTAAAGGTCTTCTCCAACCTAAATGATTCTATGATTCTACATCATGCTCGTGACTACAACTGTGTATACATCCAGGCACAGAGTTACTGAGAAGATGTCATTTACAGCTTGGAGAGGGGGTATTCTCTCCAGATGTGACAGAGCAGTGGTCAGTGACTGCCAGGACACCTGTCCAAACTGCAGGTGCATCCACCTTTATACTTAAGACTTCAGCATAGAATACATCCAAGATTATTTTCTTAGAAAAATGCAATTTCTAATTCATGCTGGACGCTGAATCAGAGAATGCTGTAGAAACCACTCTTTGCCTGTGAATGTAGGCTGAAAGGAATAGAAAAGCAAACAAGAAATGTCTGCTGCTTTCACTGTAAAACAAAGTGCCATACTACTGCAGCACTGAACAAAGGCACTCAGCAATGCTACTTCAACTGGAAGGACAGTTTGCATAATTTCTTCATACTGTATCTTGGAGATAACATTAATTTTTGTTTTTATTTATAGACATTGCTATGGTAATCATAAGTGTGTTAAAATGCACTAAATAAATATGTTTAATTAACATCTATCATACCTTTCAACACCATTTAACTTCCATTTGTGTTTTCTTGACATCAGGAGCCCTCCTCCCCATGCTCCCTAGAAGGCAAAACACGTTATCTTAATGAGAACTCTGCTTTTCTCCATGATAACATCTGTGCATTCACATCAGTTTGGGGCGCTTTCTTTTTTCTTGCTGATGTGGCATGTTCCAAAATGACCAGGCAGATGGGGCCTGAGACATTAGCTATGCTAGCAATTTTCTTCCAGTACCTTGGAAGCAGCAGTTTATTGCCCATAATCTGAGTGCCCGCCCTATCATCTGCTATCCCCTACCTCACCACCTCCTCTGACACACACACTGTGCTGCCTCATGATATAATTAATGACTTGCAGAGCTGTCCCAGGGTAAGTTGCCTTTTCTCCTTCAGTGGTGAAGTGATGATAACAAACCAGACTGGGATTTCAGCTGCTCTGGCGAGTTTTCATCGCATTTCCAACCACTACTGCTTGCCCCCTACTCATTTGCTTTCGCTCATACCGATTTGGTTCAAACAGGCCTTTCATGTGACTCGAAGTAATTTAAAGTACATACAAATTCTTCCTATGAATTGGACTGATTTTGGCTGACACAGTAATCCAAGAGCAAGATGCTCAGCCCTATGGAAATTCCATTACCAAGCCGTTTTTGAAAGAGGATTTGCAAAAATGACACAAAAGCCATTAATGGGCTGAAAGATGATCCTTCAGAAAGATTTACTGGCAAGAACCCAGATAAAGCTAAGTAGCCAATCTGATAAATTTCTCTATCATTTGCATTAACCTGTTCAGCAATTTGTGGTACTTTATTCTAGACAAATGTAGGCTTTTCTTATGTATTTATTTTGCAGCTGCTGCAGAAACTGAGCCAGTGCTCAGTATGTTTCTTATGTATTTCTTGTACTAATAGCATTTAGAGGTAAAGCTGAAAACCAAAAGCACCCAAACTAGGTCATCTTCAGTGTCCCAGTTGCTAAAAGTACTGCACAGTCACAGGTCCTAAAATGTCCCCCTGCCCTGAGCCTCTCAGAATGGGAAGTCGGTGCTTGGATGTTAGGCTTAATTACAGGAACCAAATACAATGGATTTTGTACAAGCTAACACTGTCCAAAAGGCTAATTAGTTAATTAATGCTAATACACCTTGTAATCCAGACCCTCTCATATAATGATACTTACATCCACATGCATCCAGATTTTGTACTTCTTGCAGATGTCTGCAATAGCTATGAGAGGATCAAATGCCCCATACACTGTTGTCCCAGCTGTGGCACTCACCAGAAAAGGAACAAACCCCTGCAAGAAAGCACAGAGGCATTTGGCAAGGTCAGAGTACTGCAGCCTCCTCAGCCTGCAGCAGCCCCAACTCCTCCGTGCTGCCTCCACAGTGAGCCCACAAGAATCTCCCAGAGGACATCCCTGGTACATTACACTGGTCTAATCTTAGTTTAGCTGCTAGTGGTGTTATAGTTTCTACCTTCAGGTGGCAGCAAACTTCCAAACTAGCATCCTCCATTTATTAGGATGCGTGAGACAGGCAAGGGCTCAGAACAATTCTTCTCCACACCACTTGCCTGAAACAAAAGAGAGTCTGCTCTTCATAATGTCGCATAAAACAAATCTCACCCAAGCACCACAGTGTTTGAAGTATCTCTGGTGGACTGTGCGCTGGGCTGCATTATTAGTTATCCCAGCGTGTGCCTGAATGTGTGGTGGCCCAGTCCTGACAGTGGGAACACCTTGTCTGGGAGCAGTGCCCAGGGGAGGTGTGGGGCTTACTTCTAGCTCCATTCCTTGTGCAGAAGTGGGAGACAGCTCGTTTGAGGAGAAGACAGAAATCTCCACAAAGGCCAGGGACCATCTCTTGCATTCTCTCTGCTAAAGCCTTTGCCTCACAGAGCAGCACTCACTGTCCATCACGTGGCTTTTGCACTATAAGGTCTTTGGTCTGCCATTTTTATATGAGTGTTTCATTCTAAATTCATGATGATTTCATAAACAGTTCTTTGAACAACAAAGGTAGAGTGTCTACATTTTTGGCAGAACTAGGGTTTAAACTATAAAAAAAATCTAAATTTCTTTCTGTGACTATCAGCAGGTTTGAGTGGCACTCAAAAACTTGTCATTTTGCCTTATTTTTTATCTACCCGATTGCTTTTCTTAGAAAAAGCGAAGATTTGTGTTATTAATTTGGTAAGTCTATAAAGAATACTTTTAATGCATTAAAATGCATACAAATTCCCCAAACGATTACTCTGGTCTTATCAATAGTCAGCTGAGAAACTGTGTCATAGGCTAATATAAAAAAGGAAGATGTTATGCAGAACAACATACTTAAAAAAAGCCAAACAGCTTATGGAGATTATAAAGTAGCTCTAAACTATGTTCTCAGCAATGCTTGCCTCACTAATTGCCAGTATACATTTCTGAGAAATAAATTGGAAGTTAATGGGCAAGCCTGTGTTATTTTACCAGGGAAAACAAAACAACTAACTGTATCATTCATGTTTGGTTTTGTTTGTTTGATTTGTTCTTTTTTTTTTGGAAGCAGAAAAGCCAGTAAACTTACTTTTTGTTTGGCTTCAAGAATTCTTCTTTCAAGGTCTGATGGGATCATTTTCCCTCTGGAGCAAGAGAGAGTTGTATCAATAATTGGACCTTGAAATCAGCTCTTACTGTCACTTCTTCACTTAATAGGAAGCCCAAATAGAAACAAAGTGACTTTTTTGCCCAAGGGTTATACAGCTTTGAAGAGCACGGAAAGACTCTGTCCATTAATTTGAGTTTCTACCCTGATTATTTTGTCAACTAGTTCGCATCAATATAGTGATGGTAACTGAGAGAAGTTATCTCGTGGCCACCCCCATTAAAAACTGATGTTGTCCTATGGTATCTCCTGTTCCTGACATTACAGTCCTGTGAATATGATCCAGGCTCCTAAGGACAGGCTTAGCCCAGTATTTCAAGAAGCTCACTGGGTGCCAAATCCCATGGTTCCCTTCTAGCAGGCACAGAAAATGCCAGCTGAGCTTCATGGCCTTGAGCAGTGCAACTTAGCTCTGGCGTAAGCAGTCACCTCTGTGTTTCCATCCCACGGATGAACTTGTTTCAGGTGACTATTCCATGGTTTGGTGCATTACATCTTTGCATTTGCTTGCACCATGATAGGAGAAGAAGCCACCAGTATAGATGCATTATATGCATTAAATCAATACAAGAGTCCTTTGTATTGATTGTATTTGCAACACCTTTAGAATTTACCTGAGATTCAGACTCAGTGGTACAAAGCTTGAAGGTTAATTTATGAACTCCTGTAAATGGATTAGATGCAAGACAGAACAGTGCTGGTACTGAATATTGAGGTTAATGTTTTCTTTGCTTTAGCCACAAGCCAGACTATCTAAGAAGGGAGAGTATGCGTAACAACAATACAAACATTACAGCTGCCCACATTAGAGGAATAAAGTCTTCACTGGCTTTGGATGTTGTCCATTTAGATTAACACTATTTTTTTAAAGACTTGTTCAGGTTTTCTTTGTTCACTAAGCATTGATTTCCTGTTGCTATAAAAAAAGAACAATCTGTTCCAAAGCTCAAAATAGTAGTTTCAGGGAAACTAATACAATCATTAGTTTTAGGTTTGATTTTGTACATAAAACCCTCAAGTGTTTTTTAAGACATTTGGATGGATGGAAATAAAAAAGAAAAAAAAAAGGAAAAAAATATTGTAATAAGATATTACCAGATTTTCTAAGTTTTCATCCTTACACAGCTCACAGTAAGGCAGTACTATTTCAAGAGAAATACTTGGTTTGTACTGCTGAGTTTTCTGCAAAATCTGTCCTGCATTTCACCTATTCAAAATGCTAAAAGAACAATTGAAAATATTCTGAAAATATAATCAAACCAACAAAAAAAAAAAATCCCAAACAAAAAAAAACCCCAGAACACCAAACCAAACCCAGAAAACCTCAAAAAACCCACCAAATCCCATGACAAAGGAAGGCAATGAGTTCTTCCTCCAAACACAGATGTTGGTCTTTCAGCAGTTTCTAACTGATTGAGCTTGTGCACATTAAAACACAGAGCAGGGTAGATCCCTCCACTGCCCAAATTTTTACCAAGATCAGTGACTATCCAGCCTCCGGTCACACTGAGTATGTGCATGAATTCATACCCAGGAGAACACCATGTTCATGCAGTGCCAAGCTTTATCAAGGAGCAAGCAGTAGGTTGGCTTTGAGTATAGTCCAAACATGTGCCACAGCACACAACACCCTCCGGCTCCAAATCTAGCGAAGTAGCCAACAGCATTACTTACTTGCACAGCATTTTCACGTGTTATCACCTGAGCTCAGATGACCTGCAATGCTTAAAATGCACTGCAAAATAACAGGCTTGTCCTTACACAAATCTTACCCAGACAGTGTGGCTGGGAGTTGCAATAGATGTGCTACATGGCAAATGTTTAGAGGCAGGAGGGCTACTGGGTGAGGCAGGACAGACTCAGAAGGAAAAAGATGCTGAGGACAGAATGAGTATTACTGTCGAGGTGTTCTATTACCCACATGTGCACAGTCTTCACTGCTGCCACACCACACTGAAAGGTTTTGACCCTTCCCAGCTTTCCAGTATCTGAAGGGGGCCTACAAGGATGCTGGAGAGGGACTCCATCAGGGACTGTAGTGATTGGACAAGGGGTGATGGGTTTAAACTGAAACGGAGGAAGTTCAGGTTAGGTATAAGGAAGAAGTTCTTTACAGTGAGGTTGGTGAGGCACTGGAATGGGTTGCCCAAAGAAGTTGTAAATGCTCCATCCCTGGCAGTGTTCAAGGCCAGGTTGGACAGGGCCTTGAGCAACCTGGTATAGTGTGTGGTGTCCCTGCACATGGCAGGGGGGTTGGAACGAAATGATCTTAAGGTCCTTTCCAACACAAACCATTCTGTGATTCTGTGATTCTATGATTCTATGACCCCAAAGTTGCAGCTAATACACTACTGCTACCAATATGTCTCTGCGGTAGTAAAAGAGGCAACAGATATGTATGGGTGGTTGTCCAGTCTGGGGTATGAGCAAGAACATTTACACTATACAGCAAAACCAAGCAAATTTTGTGGGTTCAGGTCAGGATGGGCAAGAGCCACCAGGAAGCATTCCTGGTTGTGCTGGAAACATCAAAAAGATGTCATAGTGCTCCTTCACCCTCACACAGGTCCACATCTTCACAGAGGTTTGTCTCCACCACACCAGCTCAGCATTCCATGCAAACAGCCCACTTTGTCCTGATGACATGTGTTGGGATTTTGTGAGACATGCAGTAATCCTGCTGTTTACTTCAGGGTGGACAGGGTAAGCATTGTGGTCTTCAAAGAATATCATTACACTGTATTTGCACAAGAAGAAAAGGAAGATACCACTTCATTGATCCACGTCTGTCTTTAGTGAATAGAAACAACTGGAGGTTTATTTTGATGTGTGTTGGTTGAGTTGATGCTGTCATTAATTCCTCTTCACGGTGTGCTTAGTCTTTCGTTAATAAAGAGATAATAAGTCTGTAAGTCAATATGCAGGCACTGTGATTAGCATTGTGAATTGCTTAGTTGGTGCTCTTTTTTAATGTGGGAGCAGAATATTTTGATAGCAGTAAAATCTTCCATCATGCTAAAACCGTAAATAATTCTGTACCTCGTAACAGTGATATTTGGGACTCACTGTAAGAGCATTTTCTATTGAAAAGATTCTCAGTAGAATCAATAAAGGACTGTTCTATTAATTTTTGTCCCATAGAAAGTTTTTCCCTAAAATTTAAAATCTTCATCATAACATGTTGATTTTGTTAATATATTCTTGTTTTCTCAAAATGGGTTTTCACAGTGAATCAAAACTTTTTAGTTGGGTGAATTAAGCAAGAAGTTATCTACTACTGATTTTGTAGAGCCTATGGAACCTCAAGGTTATGTGCCTGCTACACTAGTCCTTTGCACGGGCCGTCATCCTCCTGTTGGTCACAGTGCTGCCAAAACCCTTCTCTCTGCACCCCATCACAAGGGTGTCCCCTTCAAGGCACTGCAGGAAGTGTTGTCCAGCTGAGTAAGATGGTGGGGCATGAAATAACAGAATTACATTAGTCCCTCAATATTTTACTCCTATAAAAGGCCCACTTCAGCTCATTTTAATGGACCAAAATGTGAGAGTCTCTAGACGCTCTAAATTGACCAAAACATGGTTCTTCCTGGTTTCTTAGCTGAACATGTAAGGAATGATTGCTAGTTTGGTATTTTGTTTCACTTCAGGATGAAAGAAAAAGAAGTATCAGAAATCCCTGGGGAAGGGAACTTTTCTGATGAGCTCCAAAACCTGACTTGTAAGGTGGCTACTGACAGAGCCAGTTCCTCAAGTGGGGTCAGTCAGTGTAAGGTTGCTGAAGATGACAGTGCTACAATGAATTGTACCAACTGCTGACTGCATCCTATATGCTCTTTTTGAGCTGAGCACCTGATGATCCTCTTCTTATAAAAAGAGCTGTATCTGGCATCTCTACTTACCTTTCATCACATCTAATCAAAATCACACTATCTGTACCAATACCCAAGGCTGCAGCTCCTTTCTTCACAGAAAAGTGACTCTGAAAAAGAACATTTATTATTATGCATTATTCTTGAAAGCCCTTCTGCAACTAGCCCCACACAGGCAGTAATTCTATTCATATCCATTTTGGAAACCTATCACTGTAATTTGAGACTTCATGTCAGGTAACTACAGTCAATTATAGAAACAGCAATCACTCTGTAATCTGGATTTACTCCTGGAATATTAAATACATAACTGCAACTGATAATGGACCCAAATTCTGTCCTTGATTCATACCTGCAGCTTGTATTGCTTGTATGGATTCAGCTATGAATTTGATTTACTGAAACAAAAAATTCTTCCCTAGGGAATTCATTTAATTTGTGGCATCCAGAGCGATGTGCTTCTGCTTTGTAACTTCTGGCCAAATAATACACTGAAAGAAATTAAGATAGGAAGCCTAATTGTGATTTCATGCCAGTGAAACCTAGTTAAACTCCAATTAATAAATAGAACTACAGCCGTTTAAAGCCAGAACTGGGCTATTACTGACTATTAGTTAATTTGTATGTATGGAATAAAATATGGACATTATATACTGCAGTACAAGTCAGCCTAATTTTCTCTAGCTCATAGGACTTAACTGCTGAGCCAGTGTCAGTTTATAATTTTAATTTAAATCCTAGTGATTATGATAATGAAATAGTTTTAGATCGAATTATACCTCCAAGAATCTGATTTTGTATTAACTCAATCCCAGTTGTAACAGTATTGTCCAAAGTAATTTTAACTACAGATTATTAAACTTTAAAAAATGGCAATTCTTTATGTGTACTATAGTACCACTAGCTTACGATGTAGCACTATTAAAAAGATCAGGGAGATAAAAATCTAACAGGGCTTTTCAGGTGTCCATGACGTTAAAGAAGAAAGGAAGACATATACTCTGCAGACAACCACAAACCAGAGAAGTAACCACTATTGCTTTGCCAAGAGAGTATTTGGCTTCAACGGTAATGTAAGCAGCAGAGAGCTGTAAGGAGAGATGGACATGATGGTTACACGTCTACTTCACTTTAAGGCTGTGAAGTCAGTGGGATTTCACTGTATGCTAAAGGGTTCCACACATAACGAACACTTTGAGAAACAAAAATCAATTCTAAACCAACATGATGAGAGAGTAAGTCTCTTCCCAGCCCTGCGGGTGTCCCTGAGCCCCATGGTGCAGCAGTGCAGCTTTATGAGAGCAGGGAGGGGAAGAGGCCATGAGAAGGCTACTGGCAGGAGGAGGCTTATAAAAAATTCCCAAGTTTAGGAAAGTATCTTTGAACGTTGCAAAAACTGAAAAAGAGCTAGAATATTGCCACCATAACGAGAGTTCACTAATACGCTGTGTGAAGCTAGAATTGGATTTATATACTTAAAAAAAAAGTATTACACAAACTGATGTGCATATACTAGGTAGTGTAGTGTATAAATACAGGTAGAGATGTAAGAGTGAAGAGTCACAGATACATTTCAGTGGGTTTTGAGTTAATGACATTACACTGATTAATTTTGCTTCTTATTCCATACTAGTTAAAATAGATTTATTATTGCAATTTGTTTTTCTAATAGAAAATTGAACTATTTAAAGTGCCTTAAAAAAAGAAAATACAGATTTGAGTAGTTTACTATGAGAAAGAAAATTAAGCCCATGTGCTCAAAGACATCATCCACTGGAATACGGCCAGGCTCAGCTGCCTCATTGAGAAGTCTCATGGCATTGCTAAAGCAGCACTGGAGAAAAAAATTTAAAGTAGTGCTGATAGCTTGGCTGCCTGGAGGGTTTTTACAGACAGAAGGGAATACAGCAGTCAGGAACCAAAACAGGTTTAGGGATAAATTGGGAAGAAATACAGAAATCTATACACAGAAGGGCAAATGCAATTACAATTTCTAAACAAACTATGAACATGATATTGTCAATCCATGTATACAGTCACAGACATATGACTGCTGTTATGTTTTTGTGTCTTAAGCTAACATCAGAGGAATTAGTCCAACTGCATGAGAGGTCTGAAAAAGCTAGGCTGAAAGTGAAAATGGAAAAGATACAGTTTTAAGAGCAAAGAAAACTTCGCTCATGATGATGAATGTTAAATTTTGGGTTAATATTCCTGGGATGGTGGTGGAAATTCGGTTGCCTTTGTAATATAAAGGTAAACATAGAAAAATATAAAGGTCAAAGAGAAGGAAAGGTTTGCAGAAATAAGCCTGACTAGGCACAACTTATGGGGAAGGAGGACATTAACCATGATCCCTTTGGGAATATGAGGGCTACAGACTGTTTGGCGACACAAGGAAGTGGGCTTGAACATCACCTTTCATGACACAGCCATGTAGGAGTTATGCAGACCTGAAGCCTTCAGGTGGGAAAACCAGGGTCAAAAAGGGAGGATGGGGCAGACTGCTGGATGCTGGTCCTGAAGGAAAAACCAGCCTAGGAGAAGCTGGCAAGTCCAGGGTTTCACCACTGCCCTGAGCTTGCCAGGGACAGGAGGACATGCAGGTGGGAACGGGCTGTCATGTCAGCTTCCTCCCTCCATCCCTTCATGCACTGTAAAAGGCTGCATGGAAGGCTACAAATACACCCCCAATAGAGCAGGACCTCAGTTTTGCTCTGAAAAGAAATGTGGTTAAAGTTCAGTGGTGAAGGAGAATGTACTAAGAATTAGCCAATATTAGTGACAAAAGCATATTATTGATCAGAAAATAAATTGTTGATTTTGAGCCAGGGGAATTTTCCCTTTTGTCTAATATTTCAGATGCTGTTAAGAATAGGTCTGCTTGTCTGATAGTAATATCTTCAAAGTCAGCTTTGTAAGTAAAAACACTGTAAATTTATTACAGGTGAAATAATGAATAAGCCTATTGGAAAAAGGAGGAAGTAGAATAATTAAAAATGTTATGATGCTTGAAAATATGGCGTTTCATCTTAAATAAACAGTGCTTCAATACACAGATGCTTCTATTTTTGTAGATTGCTAAATTACTCGCTGATAATCTGACATAGTTGAAGCTGTCAGGAAGAAACATCCTAATGCCATAAGCTGGTCTTTCAGATTGAGGATTCTCGTTGCTCACATAAACCTGGAGTGGCACAAGCTTTGTGGAGGACTTATGAGAGGCAGTAAGTTCCCAAATGCTGATCAAGCTGAGACATCCAGCAGCTGAATCGTCTCCTAGGTCTGCAGGCTTGATCGCTGACAACCTGGTGTCTGGCAGACCTGGACCCCAAGCCTCACCCTATCAGCCACCCACCAGCAAAGGAGGTGAACACACTTTCCTCTTCACCTCTCTGGGTCTTTAAACAATGTGGGATCCCTAGATGTGTAGTCTGGGCTCCTTCTCTCGTAATTTTAATCATCTAAAAATGTGTGGCTGGTCTAGGCTTGATGTCTGGGCTCCTGCAATAGCAGGGAAGAAAAAGCACCTCCAGAAGGCACGTCATTCCTGAGGCTTTGGCATCCATTTTAGACTAGGATGAGTTGTCTTCTGTAGATCTTGCTCTGTTTTTATCAGCTATAAAATGTGTATAGACTAATTCAGATAAAATGTTTACACTTTTGGTGATTAAAGTTAAGTGACACAAGTCCTGTCTTTAACATGTAATTGTAAGCTATAGCTTTTCCTTCCATTATCTACAAAAAGAGTAGACTCTGTCCCATCACGTTTTTAAATACCTTGTAATGACATCTATTTCCTATTGTTTCCTTTAGCTACTGCTATTCAGTTTTTAAAGCTAATGGCTAGTGTCAGGAGAGAAATTAATATATTAATGTTTCTGCACAACATACTAATACTTCGCATTTTTTAAATATATGACTTCATCCTGCTTTTCTAACACAGTGAGACTCACTTATCTTTTTTTGTAGTAAGGGTAATTTTACAGCATTATCTGTGGATAAGAAATGTTGCACTGAGTTCAGGAGGATCCTGTGGCAGTGTAAAAGTCACAAGATATCGACCAGATGAAGAATTAGATGCAAGTGACTCCTTTGGGATAGGCTGCCCTAAAGCACTATTTTTCTGGATAATGGTTTTAGTTTGATTTGAACAGTGTTATTTGAATTAAGTTGCTCCTCAAACAAGACCAAATTTTCACTGTTTCCCCTGGCTTCAAATATCACCAAAAAATACTTTCCTAATTACTATGCATCAGGTAATTCAAAGGAAGAATGCATGTATCCATGACTTTGATTTTTAGTTTCCTTAGGTGGAAACAAAACTACTTCCTACTTGCTCTATATGCTCCAAAATATAACTTACGGCTTTGTGATTTATGCGACCCAATGGAAACCATGATCACCAGGCTCCTCAAATCCTTCCCTGGAAGCCCTGCCACCACACAGGTCACGCCTCAGGCTGCTTCTTTCATGTGGCAGTCCTGCAAACTCCCTCCTAAGTTGCCAGCCAGAGTGCAATGCTACCTGCCATGGAAGCAGCAGGACTAGAGATCAGCTTTTCATTCTACACAGAAACCTACCCAAAATCTTTAATGGGCTGTGTGAAATGGAGGTCTATGGAGCTGTCTGATTTGAGACAGAAGTTGCTTCTTCATTTCCTTCTGCCTCAGTGCCAAGAACCTCCATATTAGGTTTCAGAAACTGTTCAGACAAAAACTTTGCCAAAGCCACTCTTCTCCCACAGCTATCAGTGTAGTTTGCTGTATTGCCTGCAAGTAATGGGGCTTAGTCACAAGGGGAAATCAGCATGCACAAAGCCAAAGCAGTGATTTATTGCTAACTGCCTCCTTTGATCTAGTTGCTGTGTGGATGCTGCATGCACTATTGCTGTGAGGGTGCTCTCCTATCACCACAGACAAACCACCTCTCACAGGTGCTCCCTGTGCTCCTTGGGATGAGGTTCCTCCAAGTATGTGTGGCTGTGTAGAATGTGACACCTTATACCTGAGCAGCCAACAGACTCTCCCTTCATGTGGATACCAGAGTTGCACCTCCAGTGAAGCCTCAGGCAGGAGCTAGGTCATCCCAAGAGGAGTGCAAAAAGGATGCCAGAAGCAGACAGAGCTTCTCTGTGTCCCCTTGGCTCTCTAAGTGGGTGAAGAGGTCCCTTATTGTCAGATCAGACTTAATCACCTGCCAGTTCTTACTCTGCATTTTCTTTTCCAGGACTACAACAGGAGTTATACTGCTATTTCTTTGGTGAGCACCTGACCATGCATTCTTCCTTAGGGGAGTGCTAGAGGGGTGGAAAATGAGGAAAGCTGTTGTGGACTACATAAGCACTGTTGTAAGTCTTGCTGAGCTGGAGAACAGAGGAGATGAAGAAATTTCTATGTCTTTCCAATTATGCCTAACTTTTTTCTCATTCTCCGAACTGTGGATTGAGACTGTATAGCCCATAATTAAACATCAAGTCCATGGAAAAACTTCAAGTTCCTTAAGCTATTTTTATACTACAAATAAAAAGGCCAAAGGCTGATTTGCAACCCAACTAGTTCTTTACAGCTAAACTTTCCCACTCTAACCCCTTTCCTCCTCAGGGTAAGATGACTTTGGCCTTTTTGCCTGCTAAGGGTTATCCCTGCTCCCTACTACTCCCAACTACTGTTGGATGTTGTTTAAGAGTGCTAGCTGGCCAGGTCAAAATCACAAGAGGGAATGGGTTAAAATTCAGCAGATCTTACCTTACAGACAAATGTATCAACTAAAATATTCTGAGAACGCAGCTCTCCCTTTCAGCCACTTTCTCCACACTGAAAAAGGGATGTGCTCAGCTGAACACTCACAACAGCCTAAAGCTGATGTGCTGGGACACAGAAGGCCTTCATCTTATATTTTTCATTGCATTTGAAATGATGGGCTAAAATAGGCTTTTATGACTAACATCCATCACTTTTACCCCTCTGAGTTAAGGTCTCTTGTATCATATGCAGTCCAGAACAGCTGCCCTGAAGGACATCACTTTGCTCCTGCACCAGTGCAGATCAAAGTAGTGCACTGATGATACACTACAGAGGATTGAATTATGTCCTGAGCACAAATGCATCTCAGTGAAATTATACCTGGGCCAAGACGAACCCAAGCAGTTATGGCATTGTTTCACTGTCACTGGTGAAACAAAACCAAACAGAAGCAGGGTGACAGGTAAATCACAGTCCTACTGAACAGATCAGGGAAGATCTGCTTGCTGGGAGCATACATGGTTGGAATAGTCACATAACCTGGTTTAGGTAGGTTGAGTATATTAGTAGGCTGATGTCTCTGTGTGGTAAATGCACAGAAGTAGGTGAACACCTCCCCACCCCACTCCCTCACCTCCCCGAAGGTGATCTAGAACATCTAAGTTAAGGAACATTTAGGTTCCTAATTTGGATGCTTCGGGCTTCTCTCCAGAGATGCCTCTCTTCTCTGGTTGTGCAGAGTCAGGCTCCTAATTTAGGAACATGATGCACTCCTAAATTAGGAAGGGAATTACTTAAGAGCTGTGAATTACTCCTCCCTTCCATTCTCCCCCACTAGCAGCTGAACCTGTCATGGTATCAGACTGAGGCCAGATTCTGATTACAGTAATACTGGCAGCAACTGTAGCATAACTTAATTCATTTATAATAATGGAAGCTCTAGACTGGTAGAAATGAAAATGAAGTCTGGTCTGTGATGCTAAAATTCTTGTCTGAGACCTGCTGATACCAAATCTTTGCTTGTGACTGAAAAATTTGAGACCAAAATCTCCAAGTTTCAGAATACATACAATAGCTTTAAGCTTTGTTTACTATCATGCCACATGTGCAAAGTAAATGGGAAATGATAGTATCCCACTTATAGTCTGCTTGTTCCATGGTTATCATCTTACAACAGCATCCAACTGTGGCAGACAGAGACCAAAATCAGGCTGGAGAGTCTAAACTTCGAGTAGATTGTCAGCATGGTGTGATAAATGAGACAAATGACATTCTCTTATCTTAGTGTCTATTCAGGTTCTACACGACATTTCCTATCTAAAAAGGGACTGTACTTCTAGGCCTCTGCAATTCCTGTAAACAGCCTCTGTTAAACCCTGATCCCATATCCTCTGGGCAATTAAGGGTTAAAGGATTCTGTCTTCACATTGTGTGGGTTTGTAACTTCCCTAGAAGATGTGCCATTACATACTTTATAAAAAACTTGATAGAAGAAAGGACAAAACTGCAATTTCAAGATACTTTTAAAATTTAACAATTTCAGATGCTGTTCTATGGATTTTCCAGTATATTTGATTTTGGAATGTTTAATTTGCTAAGGGAACTGCTTCTTCCCTGGCATGAAAACACAATTATTAAAGCTCATTTCATTATTTTGAGACTGATAGCACAATTTGGTTCATTGTTTAACATTCCATCACTACGAACACAATGACATTCTCTAATGATTAATAGAATTTGTTATTTTAAATAATCATGCTGAACCTTATTTCCAAGACTTATTGGGCCTGTAACTTCCATATGAATAATGCATCTCTAGCTGTACAGCCAGTTTTGGAGAGTTGCTACTCATTTGTAGAATACCCTTCTCTTTGACTGCTTTAGGGACAACTGTTCTGCAACATGGAGCCCGCAGCTGTGTATTACATCCCATCCTAAGGCCAGGAAAGGCATCCTTAAAGGGATTTCCTCCTAGATATTACTGATTTTAAACTATTTAAGGACTCTTTGCTCTTCACACTTGCATGGAACAGAAACAGGTTCTCTGGTAAGTCAAAAAAGACAGCCAGGAAGATGTTGTTACCTAACATGGCTGAGCCTCAGTCATGGAACAGTCCTTTCTGGCTGAGCCCTCACAGCTGGAGAGAAATTTTGAGAGGGACCATGAAGCTTAAAGAGAGCTCACAGCCCCTCCTGGGTATAACCCTTCCTCTTCCCCTTTATCCTGCACATGCATTCTCCACTATAAGCTGCAAGGAGTTTTAAATGGTCATAAAGCCAAAATATTCCCCCACCCCCAATACAGAAATGACTTCTGTATGGTCGTTCAAAGAGTAAAATATGCTGTGCCTCTCCCACGAGGACCACTCTGGTATCTCCTGTGCCCACTTCCCCTCTCCTCTTTCACTGCCAGATCCCATCAATGCCTGTGACAAAACCTGTATGCTGAAGCTTTTGCGCACAGGCAGAAACCCACATCAAAGCCCAGGTCCCCACTGTACAGTGCAGCTGCTCTGCTGTACACACACAGAGCATTTCCATACTACTGTCTTCATATATGTTATTGCCCTCTCATTAAATAACATCAGGAGTGGTTTCAGCTAGAAACATTTTGACTCAAAGTGATTTTACCCCAGAGTGACCTGAAAAAAAGACATTCCTTGCAAAAACTGCTGAAGCCCGATGATGAGCTCTCTTCCTCTGATGCGGTCCTTACCATTCACATCGATATTTATACAGGCACAAGTGAGAGCAAAAAAATGGCAGTGGTTTGCTCAGACACAGATAACAGCACAGCTCATCCCTCTACATATCAAAAAGCCAGCCCCTTCCATTTTTTTATTCCCGGTGAATGAATAACAGAAATGAGGACAGTTGGCTACAAATTCCCATTCAGTTATTCATCATAAATTCATACAAGCAGATGTAACAGATAGGAAAAAGCAGAAACACATACATGTTCTGATGTGAAGGCAACCAGTCTGGGAATAGCTGCCATTCCTTTCTCTTTAACTTCTGGGAACATCTTGAAACGTGCAATCAACATAGCATACATGTTAGATATGGCACCACCTGGAGTCCACAGTAATATACTGTTACTTTTTCTATGCATTGTAATATCATTGCAGAACAAATGAAAAGTCTTGCTACAGATTTTCTAACTCTAATGTTAATGTTTCTGCCCCATGGCAGAAATACGGATTCTTCTTCCTGATGATCCTCGCAGCTGGGTTGTATAATAACAGGATCTACTACTCCCAAATAGCAAATTAAGCAAAAATTACTCCTGCAAAAAAGTGAGTGGAGCTTCCTTTCATCCTCATTTTTTATTCCCTTTCTCTTTTAGTCCCCATTCTTATCTTTTCATATGCCATCAACACATAGCCCCCACTCTGTTCTACCTCCCAAGCAGGCACCTTACAAGGCAACTTCCTAAGGGGCTTCCAAGTGTAATGTTGTCTATGCCCTCCCCTCCCTAATCAGGGTGGTGTTTCATGTCCCTGGTCTGAGGAAACCCACAGAATGAGTCCCAGCAGGCGCTATCTTCCGGATAACTGGAGTGGAGGAAGGGAAGAGAAAAGGAAAAAGGTCATTCCAACAATTACTTTTCTTTCTGTCCTCTGATGGGAGCAAGGGAAAAAGGCTAGATGTCCCTAATACCAGCCTTAAAATCTCTGGCATACACTGACTTAAAATACATATTTTAAGATGGATATTTTACCCACTTCAAGATGGGTATTGGATGACAGCTCTGCAGTACTTTGTTCCCGTATTTCAATTGTCGGTGCATAAATTAAAAACGAGCACTTTGTATTCCTTTTAGAGACTTTTACAAACTGAGCCTTTGTGTCCACAGTGGAACAATGGTTATACATTAACGCTGCATGAGCACTATGGGAATATAATGCAGAACCTGAGGCAGAGTCTGAGTACTTCTACATATGTATGCATGCAAACACACTCTCACACAAACACACACACACAGACACATACATAAAATCCATCAGTTTTATCCTGTATATATACTATATATATAGAATTATATACATAT